CTGTCAAGTTATTGGTATTTTTGCTGCATGTTGCAGTCTCAAGTTATCTTGATTTCAAGATGTTGTCTATTCAAAGACATTTTAATAAAAATTTATTTGGTTCTTTTTAGCACTTTAAAAAGCACTTCCGCACCTAGCTGCAGACTCGCAAAAACTGCAGGCAAATTACCCGTTAAACGAAGCAAAGCGCTGATAAGGTTTTTGGCAAAAACATAAATCTAGTTTTATGTACCCTAGAATTGGTTGCTGATCTAGCGATAAAGTGATTATTACCAGCATTGTTTTTAAATGCAGTGCTGTTTTCTTATGAAAAAATTTTTTTCGAGTTGTGTATTTCAAGTAAAATATTCTGCCACAAAAACAAAAATGTTCTAGAAGCCCTAGCAGTGGTGCTAACTGTGAGCTCAAAGGTTGATATAAGCACAAATTAGTCGTCATTATGGAAGCATTTCTAATCATTATAATAAGCAATCGGCAGTAGAATAAGTTTCAGTAAATTTCACGACTCACTTACAAAGAAATAGTTGGTTATTCTTGCCTGAAATATAGTAGTTAACTAGTATTATTAATCTACTAAGTTACTAGCATAGTCAATAAAAGTAGCGTACTGTTATCAAAGCTAGTGACTTCATGGTAGACTAGAAATTTGTATTTGGATTGTTACAGAGCAATAACCAGCTAGTATAAAGATCCGGTTTTTTCTAAGCCTGAAAGAGAACTGCAGGTTTTTTTAATCTCATAAGCGACTAAAACTGTAAGAAACTTAGCAATATTATCAATTCCAACCGCTTTAACTTTCTGATTTATTGTGCTTTTTAATAAATGTTTGTCGAAATAAATTTGATATTACGATCTGTCTAAATTTTACTCTCATTTTCTGTTTCACGTTGCACTTTTATGCAGCTTTGTAGCTTTACATGTCTAGTAAAAACTTAGAACTTAGTTGAAAGGTTCAAGTTAAAAAATTTTTAAAACTTTGTATTAATTGCCATAAAATTGCTCTACACTCTCGAAAGCAATACCACTCTTTAAATGTGACAGATGTAGCACAAACTAGGTCCTTAAGACCGCATTTAAGTTGAGCAAAGAGTAAATAATCAGA